GATTTTAGAGTTTATTTGTCAATTACCAAAAAAATTATGTTCTTCTAGACCTATAAATATCAAGTATGTATGTTTGTGACTTTAAAACTTGAAATATCCTCTAAAAGGTAAAGCTTGTTTAAAAACTGAGCAAAAAAAGAGAAAATTAACCTCAAGCAAATACCACAAGGATCTTGGCCAGTTTACAACTTATATGTTTTAATTTATCAATATAAAATCATACGTCATACAGCTTGAAAGAACAATATTCTTCGACATTTTAAACATTATGCACATTGCAAAGTATATAAAAATTGCTAGACAAACAATGGGTGAACTGTGTAAAATGTGGAAACTGTATAAAGTATGCACTGTAACATCAGCAATGGATAAACTGTATAAAATGTGTACTACAACATCAACAATGGGGAAACTGTGTAAAAATGTGTATTGGTATATCAATAATGGGTAAAATGTATATTGGTATATCAATAATGGATAAACATGACTGGGTAAAATATGTACTGCTACATCAACAGTAGATAAACTGTGTAAAACTTGTACTGCTATATGCTGTGTATGCCAGGTGAGAAAGGGTTCTGATAGAAATACAGTCAGTTATAAGCACCTTCTATTTTGTTTCTAATTTTCCTTTTCCTTCTCTTGTACTTTCTTTGAAAAAGATGAAAGTTTATCAAGTAGTTCTGTTACTTATGAATTGGAGTGAGGTAAATTATATAGTGTGTGGTATTAATGTTATCATTCAAAATATAAAACTAACATAACAAATAGGATACTGTTTACAGCTAATCAAGATCAGTACAAAAATGTATTTTGGAATATTTCATAGATTCAGGAAGAAAGAAATTTTTTCTTATGTTGAATCTAAATTAGTAATAACATATGCGAAGAACCAAGATTCATGTAGCTTTTAAGAGCATATCACAATAACGGAATAGGTTCAAATTGGGCAAACATGCATATATATCAATAGTGAAACTTTCATGTACCAACAAGTAAAAATGGTTATCTTAAAAGACATTTAAAACAAGGAAAATGTTAAGGATTAGTTGTTTTTATTATTAGAAACAATACTTTAAAAAACAGGCTCTTCAAGAAATGATGTTTTACTTGCATGGCAATTACAAGATTTAAACAAAATATGATACAACAAAACTTACAACAATGTACTTAATAATATGAAACAATTACAATATCAAGCATGACCAAAACTGGTCAGTCAAAAACACTTTCATTTTAATTAATTCTTCTAAGTGTGTAGTAAAAGTATAAAAACAGTTAAAATACTTTGCACTAGAAACATAGGTAAGAAAAATCTGACACACACAATGATATTCTTACATGATTGCATTTATAAGATAAAATTGATAAGGATAACTTTTGCACAGTGAGTATTATTCTGACAATCAACCATTTCTATACTTTTAGTGGGTTGTAGAATTTAAATTTGACCATTAAATATACAAAAATCAAAGTCTGAGTAGGTCCTAATAAGCACCTAGATAACAATTTAACTATTATTTAACCATTTAGTATAACATCATGCAGAGTACGAAGTATACATGATTACTTTTGTGAATAAAAAATATAACCCCTCTAAAACAACAGTTTTTTTTGGAGGTCTCAAGGCCTCTTATGACCATTGGAGCAACTTTGATGCTTATTCATCATCAGTGATTCTCAGGCATGTTTTACCTAGTTGATTTACCTACATGATTTACCTAGTTTTACCTACATGATTACTTTTGTGAATAAAAAATATAACCCCTCTAAAAAAACAGTTTTTTTTTGAGGTCTCAAGGCCTCTTATGACCATTGGAGCAACTTTGATGCTTATGCATCATCAGTGATTCTCAGGCATGTTTTACCTAGTGGCTTCATTTCCTCTCCATGCAACCATCCCTAATTTAGCAGTGAAAGAATAGAGGGAAAGCAGTTAGTCAACACCATCCACTACCAATTTTTGGGCTACTCTTTTAACAATGTAACTGATTATCACATTATAACACCCCCACAGCTGAGAGGGTGAGCATGTTTGACAATGGGGATTTGAACCCACAATACACAGATTACACCCTAACCATTAGGCTATCCAGAACAACAGTGCATGGACTGAAAGAAGTTGTATAATAGCAATGCCTACATTTGTATACTTTCTAATTGTACAAGTTACCTGAGTAAATTTGCGTGTGAATGTAAACATATTAATAACTTTGAGGTTTATAATGCTTTCCATTATTTTAGATTTGATATATTTTACTCTGTATGATGCAGTTCTTTCACATATTTACATGCAAATATTTCATTTTTATTATCAACAAGTATTCTTAAACTTCTTCCCTAATCCATATTCTCTGTTTTTTTCTGTGTTCTGGTTGTTCTACATTCACAATCGAAACAGCTACAGGGTTGAATATGTTATATTAAAATTATTTTTAATATTCGAATCAGCAAGTCACATGACAACCACAGCCAATATAAAGTTATGGTAGAACACCATATATGAGTACTACATTCTGACTTTGTTTGAAGGTTTTGTAGGTAGTATGATGCCAATGTAAGTTATTCACTTTTGGAAAAAGTATGTAACTGCTTGTTCTGATGCAAAATATTCATACATTCAGATCATAAAAATATGTTCAAACTGGAGATTTAGAATTTGTAACCAGAAGATATATTTTGTATTGTACTTAATGGGATTCAAAAACAAAGGAATACAGACCAACATGATGCACCATGACCATCCAGGAAGAGACTTGCAACAATTCACACAACAGCTGCAGCAAGCAAAGTTGAGCATTTTGCAACAGGTAAGAATCCACAAATGCAAAAGGGAGTGGGAGAAAAAGCTATACACATCTCAGGCAACATTCCACAACATAATAAAAATGATCTCTATCTGAAAATGAGGCCGATGGGGTACAGGTTCACCAAGATAAGGCATCCAGTCATACTTCCTGTTCAACCATCACATACCTCAAGAAACTGGAGAATGAAACTGGTATTCATGTTATTCCATACAAAAATATACCAGTTAAATCAGTGGATGCAGTGCCTATAGATTTCTGTACAATCAACTGTTGAAACTGATGCTGGGAAACCACAGTCCTCATACACTAGATAGATTACACAGATCTGCAAATTTATACTTCATATAAATTCTTTTGGTTTTTATAACAGATTTTATAACTCAGCTATGCAGATTTCAAAAATAATATTCATTTTTTTTAATCATGTAAGGATTTTTTTACAAATCAGGAAGAAAATAAATCAAATTATTATTTCATTTACCACAATGAACATCTTTTATTATAATATGTGTTGCTCGTGGATTCTAGAACAATCAATAAGACTCTCACGTTGCAAATGGTCTAAAGAAATCTATAGCCAGTGGTTGTCAACATTTTAGGCATAACAAAATGTGACCCTGTTTCAATGAAAATTATTCAATTATGTAAAGTACATGATTTTTGTGAAAAATCTGTACATGATAGAGAAAAATGGATGTTATTTTTGGATTCAGCGTACAGGAATTACTGTAGAACATGTAAAACTGTCAAGACAACAAAACCATTGCAGGCCTGTGTTATTGAAATCAAAAAAGAAGGAGTGGGGTCCTTTGGATAAGACAACTTTATGACACTGCTTTTTGCAATAGAAATATACTACAAGGCTATTGACAAGGTGCATTGTCATCAGACAGAGCAAACCAGATGTAGCAACATGGACTGTAGCGACATGGTGAGGATCCAAAATTGTTTTCATACAATACATTCAATCCTCTGTATCATTTATTCTCTTACTTTGGCAATTTCAATTGCACCCAAGCCTGTATGGATGTGTTCAGTCATTATGCAAGATTCCATTCAGCTGTTACTGAACTTTAGTTTTTAATAATTGCAGTTTTAAAGTTCTAGTTGGTTGGAGTAATCTGGTCTTCATATATTTTTTATTGTTCTGGCTTTAGCACTTCTTTAAAAAAGATATTTGCACATTTTTCATGTTCCAAAGATAGAGACCTGTATCTATTTTGACACGATAAAAATACTTTTCAAATGTAAACTTTCAATATTTCATTTTAAACACATGACATTTTATAGGTAAAAGTGAAGTTTAATAAACGTAATCAAACCATTAGAATATCATAATGAAATTGCAAATAAATTTGGATATCTTTCTACTAATAGCATATACCGTTTATGGAACATTACTGAAAAACTGTATCTGAATTTGTAATTCTGAGGTTTGTGATGCATTTTCTACAACTCTTAATTTTAAAGTTTATTTGAGAAAATTTATAATATGGTTCATGGCTTAATGTAAATAGTACAAATGAAGATTTACATGACAGCTGTCAAAGTTTTTAATAAATATTATGATACAATGTCATTAACTTTGAAAATTCTGAATAGCCATTAAGTCTTACTGATTGGCAACTAGCTGACTGCCAATCACTACTGCCTGCTCTGATTTTAATAGTGTAATTTTAAGTTATGTCTAATCAATGTACAAGAGAATGAAATCTCCCAAAGTTTTCATCTCAGCAATAAAAGATGGACACAATTCACATCTCCATTCTGTTTTCTGTCACAGCATAAACAAATTCTTCAAAAGATGATACAAATTATTTCTTGTATTATTCTGTACTTACCAACCCACATAACACTGAAAGCCACTGATGGAATCATGTTAAACATTCGCTGTTTATATAACTGTCAATGTTTAGAAATAAAAATAGCTAAATGTATTAAACCGTATGTTCTTTGTATTTCTAAAATTAAGTAGAATAACTATTCTTATGATAATACATGTCCGATCTACATGCATTATACATAAGACTAGCTTACATACCTTACAAACTGCGTTAACAAAGAATAAGTGCTCTTCATACACAAGTTAAAACTCCAATTGTATACAGGTAACTTATTAGGACCTCTCTGTAGCAAATATATTTTGAAAACATTATAGTGCAATATAAAATACCACAGAAAAATGCTTACCGTAATAATCCAGAGGGTGAGCTATTGAGAAAAAATTAAAATATTTTAATATAGATACATGTATAAAATAACGTTGCACAAAGGATTATACAAAGACACATGAACTGAAAATAAAACTTTGAAAATATAAGAATCAGCTTTTCTAATACAAAAATTTTTGTTTTAGTCACAAAAAAAATGTTTTGACTCACAGTAGTGGGTCATCTGCAGATTACTTCATTGATCCTCAACCGACATTAAAACTTTGAAAAATAAAACACTCCATACAAAATACTGTATATTACTATTGTACTCAATTAAGAATGACCATATTGGCCACGAGTTAATTTGTGTGCATAAAGTTTTTACAATTCTTAATCTCAGAAGACATAGTTTCAATAACATGTTATATGCATGTATAATAAATATAGCTTTTCAATAAGTTACAATTTTATTAACCTTTCTGGACCTGCTGGTTTTTTCCTTCCCACATTAAAGAGACCAAATTGCATGAAACTTAAAATTTTATACAATTCAAATTAGTTCTGGTATAATTGTTGATGTTATGAAATTTAGAAACTTTTGTTATTAAACGGTTTTGAAAAAATATTAAAGTATTTCCTTTTGTCTTTGAATTTAAATTGTTATTGTTGATCAGAATGTTCCATTTTATATATACATTCAGTTTTAACTTGCTTAATATTCATTAACATACTTATTCTGATATTGTATTTTTCAGATTACAGTATTTACAAATCTTGTCTATAAATTCTAAAAAATATGGTAAAAACTGACAAATATTTATAAGTGACCCAAGACCCGAGCTGTCAGGATGGCATCAGATCATGTTAGACAACAGTATTTTTGCTAACAATATTCTTGGTCAAGATCAATTTATATCTAATAAAGATAGTTTACTTTCAATAAATATGTTATTTAACTTATGTATGTTGTTTGAATGTGATCACTAATATTCAATAAATAAAGATTTCAGTGACTGGAATATTTTGCTGTCCTCTACCATACTCTCACTAGATGTCTAATCATGGAAGAAATGTTTCATAGCTTTCAAACAAATATAATTAAAAAAAATATTTCCAGGAATGAAAATAACATCTAAAACAATTATATAAAAAATTCCCAGACCGGTGATTTGTTCCTAAAAATTCTAAGTTTCCAAATTACCACTGTTCTTCTCAGTATGAGCTACATCTATGATTACTTTCCCATAAAACCATAAATTGTTCTAGCATAATCACAGAAGTTAATCTACAAATACTTATGCTGCACAATAAAAACATATTTTTAAAACTTAAAAAATTATCAATCCTTATTTTTTCATCCAAGATTCTTTCAGTTTTAAAAAGAACTAAAAAATTTGTTTGAAGTTTTGCAGATGTAAACTCTACAGGAGAGGTATAACTCTAGCTTGACACATCTGACAAATTATCACGAGGCCAAGTTACATTACACACAACTTGTTAGTTCATTCCACCTTCAATGAACAGTTTTCCTATATCACTATATCATATATATCTCCTGAATATCAAAAGAAAATAAATAAAATCTCAGAAGAGTATCCTGAAGAAAAATTTATCATTTGTAAAACATATTAAGTTTTGTCCTTTATACATTAGAATTAATGCAATACTACAATCACTGATGTTTCTACAATTAGCCATGTTTATTACTTTAGCATTTAAATACTTACAATAAAGTTTTATTTGGCTTTCATTGAATAAAACTGTTAAAGACCTATGTGCCATTTGTTCCAAGTAAATACTGAATATAATATGTGAATTTAAAATATGGTAGCAAATAGAAGCCATTTTGATTCCTCAGTGAGCCAGCATCTGTTTACATACATTTAGTGGATAGTGTGTAAAATACCATATTAAAACATTAAACAGGAAATGTTTAAAATGTTTTAACTTATTCTAGTATCAATTTTAAATGTAGCTGTCCTGAAAGTATTTTTTATGATGCAAAGCTTATCTCCAAAACTATTTAAAAATTATTACAACAAATTACATATATATTAATATTTTCAAAATGCTACAAGGCATATACATTGATCAAACTAATAAAGTAAAAAAATCACAGATTAGTTTCCATAAAAAAATAAATTTTACTCAGTAGCATTAAAATATTGCTTTCTTTTAGTCACAATTTCTTATGGCAACATCAATTTTAATAATTAATGTAATGAACACAGACGGTTGAGTACATCATATTAAAACAATTTTAAATACGCAAATCAGCCAGAAACATGATAACCACAACTGATATAAAGTCATGGTGGAAGAGGATGTATCAAAACTACATCTTGACATTTTTTGGCATTTTGTAGGTAGTGTTATGCCAATGAAAACTGATAGCTTAAGGGAAGGGTATACAATAGCTATTTCTGAAGCAAATATTCATACACTCGGATGGAAATTTATATTTTCTAAAATGAGGAAACCCCCTTAAATATAATGATATTAGAAACCAAAAGAATATTAATCAACTTAGGTCATAAAGATCATCCAAAAAATGACCTTCAAGTCATACCCCAACTGTGGTAAGCAAAGTGAAGTGTCTATTAACAGGTGACAATCTACAAACACAAATGAAAATGGCAAAAGCCAATGACATGTCACAGGCAACATCATGCAACATAATCACAAAAGATCCTCTATGTATAAGTAAAACCAGTCATGTGTACCAAGATATTTCCATAACATATATCACACTTTTCACATACTTCACACACCTGAAGAATGATACAGTTTTCATGCTATTTCATATGAAAACATACTGGTCAAGTCACCAGATGTACTGCCTATGGATTTCTGTGTGATTGGCTGTTGAAATGAGTACTTTCATACTCACATACTAGATGGAAAGTATGCATGGAGAAAGTGAACATGACATGCAGGTCCTATTGTCAAGATGCACAGTCATTAAACAGAGAATAGCCAGATGAGGCAAAATGGACTGTAACAATCCAAATTATTTTAGTTTAACATACTCAACCACTGTTACATGTTTGCGAAATCTTTCTTTGGCTTAAAATTGTTGGGATATCATTAATAGTTTGTAGCGGCATTTGTATACAATAACGTTAATTTTTTGCAACAACAGACCACCTTAGTAAACAGTTTCTCTCATGTTTCCTTTAAAATTACACAGAAGTCTGTTAATAACGTAACCACATATAGCAACAGAAATTATAGCCACAAGCACCACAGACCCTGCTAGCAAGATGTCCATTTTAAAAATAAATAAAAAAGATCAAATTTTTAGTGCCATATTTCTTATAACTGGATTTTGTGCTATCAGAACCTACCTAATGACTGCCCTACAAATTTTGCAGGATAACATTTCAAAATGCAATACTAACCAAACCTGAAGTAACATTTAGATAATACTCAGCATGCAAGTGAATATGTAATTGTACGTAACACAAATGATAAAAACAACTGTTACATCAGTATATAGTGACAAAAACTGTAAAACATACTAAAGAAAAATATTTTCATTAAAGAAAATAAAGTAGAATTCTAATTAACAGTTGTGCATCTTATTATACTCCTCTGCTAAAAAACAGTAACTAACAAATTATATGATCATTTAATTATTTCTCATGCAAAGAATACTTCAAGACCATAATTACTTTTTGATAAAATCTAAAATTAAATGTATACACTTAGGCATGTAAATATATATTACTTAAAGGATAAACTTCAAATATTTTAAACACTTAGCTGACCCTAGGGAATAATGTAGAAACAACATACTTCTGCTACACAGAAATACATAATGTAAAATGATAGTTAATAAATATCATTCATGTGCAAGTATACCACAAAAATACAAGTAATGTTTGATTACTAGCATTAAAATTTCCTGTAGCAAAAAGCATTTTTAATTTTATATACCTAGTTTTTACTTTATATTTTCTTTAGTGCTGAATTGAAGAAAATATTTTGAGGACCATATGAAATATGTGATTATTTTGCAGACAAAAAGCAGCAAAGCGTACCCTAATATAGTGAATCTAATCAAATTAGTATTCACAAACCTTTTCGAGTCCTCCAAAAAAGACCATTTTCCTTAAAGGGTGAGGAGCTCAGTGAGCCTTATGCAGCAGGTAAAAAAGATAGAATTCAAGGTGGTTAGTAAGTTGCAGTAAGTCTGATTTCAAATTATTCTACAGTAGTAGAAGTCATTACCTTTCTATGCAGAAACAAAAAGCTTTAAACTATTCTTGTTAGTCCCCTCAAAATACTACAATAAAGTCAACTTTAACACGCCTCTTGCAGAAATCTAAATTTCAGACTTTACATATTTAACTCTTTAGACAAGTGGACACATTAGATACAATGAGATATACTAGTCTTCCTTAATTAATTACTGCACATAAAAATATACATATATTTCTTAGAAATATTGACATTTGATAATTTCTCTTTGTAAAGCTGACAAATCTAAAGCATTGTATGATAATACATACATTATTAATAATATTGGATTATTTTCTGTATGTGCATTGTTCGAAACATTCATTTTTATTTGCATTCATGGAAACACGATGAACATTGGCAAAAGTTAGATTTAAAGGTAAAAACCATCGTAGCCTCCTATTTTCTAAATATACATTACATATCTCAATCTGATGTTATCCACCTCAACTCAAATATTTTGTTTATAAAATAACATAACCAACTTCTGCACAAAAAAACAGAACCAAATCAGTAATCTTCTAGTTGCACACATCTCCTTCCTTATAAAGAGAATTATGGACGTATATAATATCCCAATACAATCCTATTTAAAGGGTAAAACCCTAAGCCTTTTACACTGCACTACCCAAGATCTTCAACTTGATATAACTTTTAACTTCAGTTCTATTCAACAGCTTTTCTTAATGTAAATCAGCCCATAGGAGATTTGGATTTCTTTCTTTTTCAAGCGAAAGGTTAACTATGATAATTAATAATTAAGCTAATATTAATTAATCCTAACTTTAGCAAACAAACCCTCCAAACTCAACTTTCTTTCCCATTTCAATTTGTTTTAAATGAGATAAATCAGGTTTTAAAACTTACTAACTTATTAGTACCTATACTGAAAACCTTACTATAATTTTCATTTTACATTATATGAAACAAATTTAAAAGTATCAAACTGGGATTGAATTATTTTTCTATTTCTACATTTCTTTCTATCACATTACTTCTTCTAACTTTACATTCTTCATAATACTGAAATAATAAGTTACAAATGCATTTAAAATCAATTTTGCTTTCACAACTGTTATATATACATACTTGAACTAACACATATTTACACTAGTTTATTTTATATATATATGTAAACATCACAATAAAGCAAATGCTAATTACTGTGAACAGACAGCTAATAACACACCAAGAAAAACTTGTTTCAAAATTTTTAAGTCAAACAAAATCCTTTTAACGTCATAGCAATATTCAGAAGCAAACATTAGATTTCCAACACAGAGCAACATTAGATTAAGGCACCACATAGTTATTTTTGTAACAGAAAAAGAATTACATATATTTAGTGCATTATATATTATTTTCCTTTGTGTTGAACAAATATACTATACATGTATCTACAATCAGTACAGTTTTATCAGCTTCTCATGTTTTATACCTGGAAATGAGTGTTCTATGGCAACCCTTAACACTATGTGCATGACTTTTTGAAAGAAATTCCACACAGTATTATGGATTTGATGTCAGAGATATCAATATTTCATGTTACCCTACACTGCTTATTTCATAGTTCATGTTAGAGAAAATATAAAATACAAGGATACTGAAAAAAAAAAAAAGCTTTATATATACGAATTGTGGAGGTTATAAAGGTTATTGAAGTGCAATTAGCAAACCATCTGATGAACAAAAGTATTTTTATTCTTCACAAATGTCATCTTGCCCTCCAACTTGTCAGCATCAGACTGTCTTTGTCATTTCAGACATATGTTTAGTATAAAAACTTTATTAACACATCTGATTTTTTGTGTACAACAGACCTGTACTGTTTACTAAAAGCTTTCCACATTTTGTGATTTGGTTTATTTTGAATTTCGCGCAAAGCTACACGAGGGCTATCTGCGCTAGCCATCACTAATTTAGCAGTGTAAGACTAGAGGGAAGGCAGCTAGTCATCACCACCCACTGCCAACTCTTGGGCTACTCTTTTACCAACAAATAGTGGGATTGGTAGAAGGTTTTTTCTGCACATTTAGAAGGTATTGATTTAAATTCCAAACATATGCAATTTGTCTATAATAATAAATGGGCATGTGTGTGTGACCACCATAACTCCAAGAGGAAAGAACCTAGAAACCTGACTATTTTGTACACATACTATGTGGACCCTGAGGGTGTGCACCTGGATATTATTACTTATCCATGTGCTTGTGCATATTTTTGTGAGGCAAGTTATCAAACAAACCACATAGGAAAGAA